GCTCTGCCTCCCGAGTGCTGGGATTAAAGGCGTGCGCCACCACTGCCCGGCTGAATTGGCTGCTTCTTGTTGTAAACTTCTTGTGCATTAACAGCTATGATTCTCCCCATTTACTGTGCATTTCCGTGTTATATGTACATGTAATCTCATGATTACATCGCAATCTTATGGGCACACAAAATTGTGGATAGTCAAGAAGATGGTTTCTTATTTAACTGTACAATTTTTATGAATAGAAACATACTAAAATATGCTTCATAACTAGGTCTGTTGTTCCATGTGAACTGTAGACACTTAGAGGTCTTGTTCTCCATCCTTAGCCACTGACAAGGTAAATATTGGCCAAAGTGTCCTCATAGAACTTTCACAGAACGGAATTGCAGGTGCCTGGCCGTGTTGGATCAAAACCCCTCAGAAGAATTATAGCAAACTAGAAGTTACAGTGCAGGTGCCTGGCCTGGGTATCTCCTAGTCCTTCAAGAGATCAACAGCACCCATGTTGCCCTAAGCTTCCTCCACCGGCCCCTCCCCACTCTGATTCAAAAAACAATTAACACTTTGTATTTATTTCTACACTAGTTTTTAGTGCAAGATTTTAGGCTCAGTAGACTAATTATGTATAGGTCCTGAGATTTAGGTGATTAGCAGAAAAAGGCTGTTAACTGACTAACCATGTCTGGATATTATTAATCACATAAAATAGAACACATATTCTTTGCCTTTCCTTAAATCTCTCATTGGTTTAATGTCTTCCCTTGTAACCCTTGTAGCTATCCCTTTAAGAGATAGGCAGAACTTTTCACAACCTACAGCTGTTGTCAGTCACCAATTAAGCTGACCAAGTCTTTGCCAAATGTGACTCTTATCAGAATACTTGTCCCTGAGAGTTTACTTTGTAGTTTTTACTACAAGTTGTTAATAAATAGATATATATGTATGTATGTGTATATATATGTATGTCTGTATCTGTATGTATGTATATATATGCTTGAGGGGAGAACAAGGGAAGAAGAACTAAGAACAATGAGAGAACAGCAGGAGATGGCGCAGAGAGGAGCTAAGTATGAGGACAGAAAAGAAGCTGTGTAGATAGAATTGACTGAGAAGAATAGAGTGAATGGACTCAGATTAATTTCTTCGTCGCTTGGTAGAGTCTATTCCGGACCTTAGGAGAAATATTCACCTGCAGGTACCAGTGGGGAATTTGATACATTCATGACCATAAAGGAAAGATGACTATCTATACCTTAAAACCACTAATAGTTATTATTTATTACACCTGCTACTTAATGATTATTGGTATATCATGAACTGATGACATGGTTGTTTTAATGAGGGATCTGACATCTGAAAATCATTTGAATGATCTGTCCAGGGAGAAAAGGTTGAAAAGGGTTCACAAAGAAGAATCAAGACTCTTTCTTGGCACCCACTAAAGCCAGACTATGAGCCTATGTAAGTTCACTAAAACAGTCTCTCCCTCCACACATATTTGAAATCTTCTCTACTAACAAGGTAGGAACAACTATGCAAAGATGTGAAAACTTTTCCTCTATTTTAATGACTCAGGTTACAGTCTCTAGTGTTCGCATCAGCAGAGAAGAAGCACACATACAGAGACCCTGAAGCCAGACCACCTTGTCACTCTTCCCAGCCTTGCTCCATCTCCTTCCAACATCTGGGACAATAAATCTCTTTTTCCGTATAAGTTAGGCTGAGGTTTACACATTTAAGACCCAACAGCACTGACCTTTGCAACTAGAAAACTATCATAAACATCTGTATTCATTTCTTGACATATGGATGATTGTCATGGGAATTCACCAAACACAAAGTCCACACTGAGGCTGTTTACTTGACCATTTCCCAGAACCAAGCCTATCCATCTCAAGCATCCAACACGTCTGGATGACATTCTCTAAGTACCATTTCCATGAACAGGAACCAGGAACCCTGGAAAACTGCAGAGACTGCCAGCACCAGGTCAAAGGACACCGGGGCCAGCCAGAGATGGAGAAACTAAGCACAGCTGTATGAAGCACATCATATCAGATGGGTTAAAGCCCATGTTAAAAACATACATACATACATACATACATACATACATACATACATACATACATGTATACATACATACATACATATGCCCTGGAGACAAGGGCTTGCAGGGTAGCCCAGGTTGGCCTACAACTTGTGCCTCAACCTCCCAAGTGCTGAGACAGGAGGAATTCACTCTTGGCTTCACCAGTTAATACTGATGAGGGGGAAAAAACCCTCAGTTTGGTCACCTTTGAGGAACCAACTAAATCTGAAAACTAGGAAATAAGGCAAAAGGAGGCAGGCATGTTGCTTTCTTCCTGTGAACACTGCACCTCAACATAACTGCCAGCTCAAGCGGCAGAATACTCCTCTTCAGAGAAACCCAGCAGTGACTGAAGAAGAGGGCCAGGGTCCCATTCTGCAGGGTTCAGGGGCCATCGCCTTCTGCACTTACCCCACAAGTGTGACGGACAGTTCTGGGGGCAGCACCCTGGGAGTGCAGAGCCTACACTCTAGGTAAGAATGAACAGGGGTGGGGGTGGGGGTGGGGGTGGGGGTGGGGGTGGGGGGTGGGGTCAGGTCAGTTAGAAATACAAAGGAGGGCCAGGCGGTGGCGGCGCATGCCTTTGGCGCACGCCTTTGATCCCAGCACTTGGGAGACAGAGGCAGGTGGACCTCTGTGAATGCGAGGCCAGCCTGAGCTACACAGAGAAACCCTGTCTCAAAAGAAAGAAAAAAAAATACAAAGGAGGAAACAAACACAAACTGATGTGTGCCTTAACTCCACACTCCCAGCAACCACTGTGGGTGAAAATCAGTCTGAGGTTACAAGCAAGGGGGTGCTGGGGCATCCCCCTTACACTAGTATATGCGGAATACAAAAGTACCTACCAGAAATACTTGTCAGCGTCCAGAAGGCACGGCAAGGCTATTCCATACTCTTTCCTCTTCAGGAAAGCTCTGCCCTTCTCATGGTATCCCATAGCTAACATAAGGGCCTAGGAAAGAATGTGGAATTTTAAAAACAGCTTTCAAACAAAATTAGTAAAGCATTAATAATAAAACAAACTAAAAAGCATATTAGCTCTAATGAAAAACAAGGCAAAAAAAACAAAAACAAAAACAACTCAATCTAAAAGCCAAATTAATTGTTATAATTAGAGCTTTCTCTCATTGAGGCACCCAAGCCAAATTCTCACGTCAACGTGGCTGCCATCATGAGTATCATCAGCCCTCACTTTTATCAGTTTTGTTTTTTAAACCACCTGCTGGTCTAGATGTAGTTCTAGTTTTCCAAAAGACTAGCCAGGATTAGTGGCCAGTAACTGTTATGGCCTTTCTGAGGAGTATGCAGGTATGGTAGTGTGGGCCTGTGAAAAGCTGAGGAAGGACCGTGAGGTAGAGGCCAACCTGAGCTAATGAGCAAGAGTATACCAAAACACTCATTCTTGGTTGTGGTGTTTTGAATACTTATCAAGACTCCTGTGCCAGTCTCCCATCCTCCACCTTCACAAGCAGTATTACATTTGTGCGTGTGTGTGTGTGTGTGTGTGTGTGTGTACATTTGTGCCACAGCACATATGTGGAGGATAGCTTTCAAGACTCTTCTTTTTGTTTTGTTTTGTTTTTCGAGACAGGGTTTCCCTGTGTAGCTTTGTGCCTTTCCTGGAACTCACTATGTAGCCCAGGCTGACCTCAAACTCACAGAGATCTGCCTGCCTCTGCCTCCCGAGTGCTGGGATTAAAGGTTTGTGCCACCACCTCCCAGCTTTTAATTTTTAATTTTAAATAGAATAATTCAAATAGAGCAGCATACCCCAAAATTGTCATTTAAATACCAAAAAGATAAAAACTCAAAACCCTAAAATGAACTTGATTCCTAGTCAGAACTCTTCATTCTAAGTAACTTCTGGGCCTGACCCCGCCCCTCTGTTCTGACCGCCCAGCAAGCCTTCCAAGGCCGTACTTACTTTTCTTTCGGCAGGAGGAATTCTGATTGACCTGCCTGTCTGGTTTGCAATGTCTAAGTAAGGCATCGTTTCCGGATCGACCATCTCCGCTGCAACAAAGCCATAGAGTCTGGTTAACTCAGGTGGACGGCAGTGACAGTGACAACCCTTGAGATGCCACCCTCTGGAGTGAACTCCACGAGAGGCACGGTACTCTAGCTGTGTATCTGAGGGAGGGACAAGCCAAACTCTGTGTACCTCTCTCCGCCAGGATCTCCAGGCCCCTTTTGGTCCTCTGAATGCGCTTCTCCTTCAGTTCAGCCTCATTCTGCTCCTCCTCCTCTACCTGGAAGTTTTTCCTCGCGTCCTCTTCAGACTGTTTCAGCTCCAGCACCATCGCCTTTACATTGTGAGTCACCCCTTGTTCTTCAAGGCTTTTCCCTGGGAACAGCAGAATTGCCTGTCACACAAACTTCCTGGGCAACAGTCCATTTCCTATGGTAAATGGAGTTCTTCTTTATTAATTAATTTATTTTTGGGTGCGCATGTGTGCATATGTGTGTGTGCTGTGTGCATGTGTCTGTATACAACTTGCAGGAGTTCTACCATGTGGGATCCTAGGACCAAACTCAAGCCATCAGGCTCTGCAGCCAGTGTTGTTTACCCCTGCACCCTGCACCAGCCTGGAGAATGGGGTTCTGAGACCTGCAGGCACACTTGCAGACTAGCAGGCCACACTCACTCCTTCCTATTTTCTTTCTCTTCACACTAAGACCACACTGCATGCAGGAGCAACAGCAATGCCAGCTCTGGCTATGGTGAAAAGCAGAGGCCACAGCACCTTCCTTCCACTCCATGGACTTAACTCAGCTTCTGCTTTTCTAGGACACAGTTTCCTCTTGTAATGAATAGAAATAAAGACAGAACCCCATAAAACAGAACAAAGGGGAAGAGCTGGTCCAGTGAATGAATAGGTTAGCCAAACACTACAGACAAACCTAGTAAAAGTGATATTGAGGGAGGATAGGTTGCTCAGTGGTTAGAGCACTAGCTGTTCTTCCCAAGGTCCTGAGTTCAATTCCTAGCACCCACATTGTGGCTCACAACTATCTATAATGGGATCTGATGCCCTCTTCTGTCCTGCAGACCTAACAGGAGTGTGGGATAACTCATCCTTAACAGGCTTGAGGGCCAGCCGGCCCAAACCAGTAATAAGATATTTTCTGAGAGCCAACCTGGGTCTCCCTAAAGGCCTTAGCAACAGCAGCTGAAACATGATCTGAGATGACCCGGACCAATGAAAGGGAGCCATGTCACACCAGTAGATGCGAATTCTCCAGACTTTCCCCAGGGCAGGGTGGAGGGTGTATAAGGCTTGCCTCTTCCTGAATAAACTGAACTTCTTATTTTGACATTCTCCCAGAGTCTGTGTCATTGACACTGCGCCTGCTTGGCTTTCTCCCCCAAAGGGAACAACAGCACAGGACCCTGCCACACAGGAGGACAGAACACTCATATACATAAATAAAAAACCTAAAAAAGTTTTTAAAAACATGATGTTGAAATACACACAGACAAAAGAAGAGAGGTAAGTCCACAAATAGATACCACCATCTTCCTTCATCCCGAAGGCTGAGGATCAGCTTGGGTCCCCTCTAGTGTCTAACCACTGGTAGGTGCTGCTGTTTCAAGAGGGCACCTCCTTCCTGCACTTCTGTTCTTTTTTTTTTTTTTTAATATTTTTTAAAGATTTTTTATTCACTTATTATTTATATAGTGTTCTGTCTGCATGTATGTCTGCAGGCCAGAAGAAGGTACCAGATCTCACTACAGATGGTTGTGAGCCACCATGTGGTTGCTGGGAATTGAACTCAGGACCTCTGAAACAACAGCCAGTGCTCTTGATCTCTCCAGCCCCCACTTCTGTTCTTTGTACCCTTCTACAGTGTTTCCCCTTCCTGTGTTTCTTTTTTAGAAACAACAACCATTTTAACATTCAATACAAAAATCAAGATCCACCTGGGAAAAGGAAGTGGCAAGGGAGGAAGTCACCTAAATAGATTTTGTTATTGCTTTCGAGACAGTTTGTGTAGCCCTGGCTGTCCTGGAACTCACTCTGTAGACCAGGCTGGCCTTGAACTCAAGAGATCTGCCTGCCTCTGACCCCTGAGTGCTGGGATTAAAGGCGTGCCCACCTTACTAGATTTTTGTGTAAGCTGGGTGTAAAGGTCAAGGTCAACATCAAATGTCTTCATGCTGTTAGACACTAGATGGGACCCAAGTTGATCCTCAGCCTTTGGGATGAAGGAAGATGTCGGTGTACAAATGGAGAATATCCTATGGTTCTGGGCTTAGGAAGAATTTCTTCAACAAACACAAAATCTAACTAGGCAATGGTTTTGACACCATCAAAATTAAAAATTTCTGTCCAGTGATGAGCAGAACAGAGGGATGGGATGTCAGCGAAAAGGTAGCTGTGACATATGAATATACAAGGGAAACAACTGGAGGTGCTGAAAGACGATGAAGGGCAATGTTTAGAAATGTGAAACCTAGACAGGAGGTGGTGGTGCACGTCTTTAATTCAGCACTCTGGAGGCAGAGGCAGGGGATCTCTGTGAGTTCGAGGATAGCTTGATCTACAGAGATCCAGGACAGCCAGGACTACACAGAGAAACCTGTCGTGAAAAGCCGAGAGAGACAGAGAGAGAGGTGAACTTAAGTTCCTGAGGCTCCAGGGACTCTCCCTAGACTCTCCCTAGAGATCTACGAGATCTCGTGAACCACCTGAACTGCTAAGGAGCTAATGTCTCTCTGGTTCCACTCATGCCTCCTACAGATTGCAGCCACTAGTCTGTAAGCCATACATGCCCCTGTGTGCCACTCTGCAGTATCAGTGGCTTCCATTTCTTGGAGGACAAACTCCATATTAAACAAGGCTCATTTTCACAGACTTCTCAACAGCACTCAACATCTTGGGCAGAAGTCTGTGACAGGTGGCTTTTGTGGGGACTGTGTGGCATTTAGCAACAATTCTGATTTGGACTCTAAATGATAGGACTACAGTCTTCACCCCCAACTAATTATCATCAAAATTGTCTCCTTGGCCGGGCGGTGGTGGTGCACGCCTGTAATCCCAGCACTTGGGAGGCAGAGGCAGGCGGATCTCTGTGAGTTCGAGACCAGCCTGGTCTACAGAGCTAGTCCAGGTCAAGCTCCAAAGCTATAGAGAAACCCTGTCTTGAAAAACAAAAAGACCAAAA